GCTCATCTCATAGACGTCCATTGTTTTACTCTCAAGTTAATGATTTTTATCCGTTTAACCCTAAACAAACCATCACAGAAACCCGCACAAAACACTAGATTCAAATACAAACACGATTAGACAGATTTATGAGTGTTTCTAACTAGTGAGGACACTAAAATCTCCTCGCTTGTCGTGATATTTCACTATATAAGTGAGGACATTTGACCCTCACAAGTATAATAAACACTCACACACTCACACACTCTCTCACACACACTCACACACACACACACACGCACACACACTCTCTCGCTCTCAGGTAAATACCTGGTGTCAGCTCTGATTAACTCACTGAAGCGTCTCGTCTCATTCACTTCTCAGTGAGAATGGCGCTCTGCTGCAGTGATGTCATCGCTCTGGCCCCGCCCCCTGCAGGCCCCGCCCCCAAGGGGCCCGTCTACAGCCGAATCTGGGTTACAATAACACACGGTCTGGCCGGAGCTGATGACGTCCTGCTGTCTAAAGTCTAATGATGCTAAAGTTCATCATCCCATAATTCATCCGGTCATAAAACTGAATGTACGATGAATATGATGATAATATGATGGCCAGGATCATCAGAACAGAACTCAAGTCTTTAGTTCCTGTGATAAGGACACAGGGTTGAGAAACACTGGGCATGTGACCCGTGAGCATACAGGTCATTCTCTTTATTAAACAGGGCCATATGAAATCCATTTTTTTCCCAAATTCCATTTTTATTCCATTTTAGTTTTTCTAGACTCGGTTTTAATGGTTAAATTAAAAAATAATCTAATAGCATCATGTCTAATTAATTGAAATCATGAAACTTACATAATTTAACAGCAATTTATTAAAAGTTGGAAAAAAAAATTCCCTTAAATTAAGATTTCTCTCTCTCTCTCTCTCTCTGTGCTGTGCATTTACATTTTTCTGTTAAATAAATTCTGGTAAATATTCCTTTAAAAAATTATGTTTCAATAATAAATTTTTCTTCAAGGTAAACCAAATGTTTACTTTGATGGGTTGCTGTGAAGACTTTGAGTTTCTGTTTGTATATGATATGATGATAGTTTTTCTCAAAAGAAATGGTCAAATGCTCATGAAGTGACTAAGCAGTTCTAGAGATGAAGTTCATGTGTTCATATATTGAGGCTGAAAACACCGCGAGCGTCACACACACACTTCAGTATGTGTGTAGTAAACAAAACCTGCACCATTCATTCTTTCAGCCGCAGAACATGCAGGACTCATATTTAAATAGTCTTTTTGTGGCTTAATATTCACACACACTAGTCCATATCGCATTTTGATGTAAGTGTACTTGACCTACTTTTGATTTATTCATCCAAAATTTGGCAAATTCCATGACATTCAGTTTTATACAGTAAATTCCATTTTTATGACTGGATTCCACGATTCTGTCCACATCACATAAATCATAGGGTCCTAAGTAACCATCTGGTTAAAGAAAGTTGTGTTGCAAGTGCAGGACACATGAAGATCAACATGGTGTAAATGCGAAACTATTGACTTATTAAATAGCTTTGCATGAATATGAAGGCACATTGTCTTAAACATTTCCTATTTGTTCAAATATAATATAAAATCAGAAAAATGCTAAATAGATCTAAAACGTCCAGTTTTAGAGATCACATCAGGTGTGTGTGAGGAGACCTCATCCATCACAACACTACAGCATGAGCAAATTCACATCAATCACTGCATTGATTCAAAATCACTCCTGTAGTTCACAAACGCTGAGCTGAGATCATCGCATCTCCATCTGGCTCGTCGACTCGTGGAGTGATGATTCCTGACCAGCACAAACGGCCCTGTTGCTCATGGAAAAACAGCCCTCATGCACACGTGTGTTCAGTGAGATCATATTTGATGCACACACACACACACACACACACACACTGAGAAGAGACAAACCTCATGGGATCAAACTCCAAGCGTTACCATGACAACCCTTTCCTGAGCGGATTATGGGCTGATAAAACAAACACATGATCCGTGATGAAACACAGCCAAATGCAGTCAGTCCAACAGTGTGAGAATCTCCAGGAGAAACTCATCATAACATCACAACAGCAGACTGATTCAGTGATGGCAGCACCAGCCCCACAGACGCCTCCTCATTCCCGGAGTGTCACACACACACACACACACACACACTCACACATAGGCCTGTCACGATAACAACTTTTTGTTGTGCGATATATTGCCCCAGAAATAATTGCGATAAGCGATATTACTGTCATTTTAAAGACCATTTTATAGCGATGAACATATAATCATAAAGCATACATATATAACTGTGACGAGAGGGGCGGGGCCGAGAGCCGTGGGAACGGAGCGAGGCCGGTGGAGTAATTGCGAATGCGCGACACCTGCACCACTCACCGGTCTCGAGTCTCACGGAGGAGCTCCGGAAGGATACAAAGGAGGAGTGACGACAGGGAAAGACGAGAGAGGACCAGGCCTGGACTTT